TGTTATAATTGTGTATGAAAAATTTTTTATACATTTTTCTAAATTTGTTTTTTTCTAAAACGAACACTGCGAAAATTATCTTTTTAATTATTTTTAATGTTTTTACAATACTATTATTATTTCTATTACACTAAAAAGTAATTTTACAAAAGAAAAAAAAATATACGAACATATATGATTATACATGGTTATGAATATTTATGTATGTTTATACATATTTATATACATATTCATGCATAAAAAATTGTTTATTGAGTTCTATTTTAATAATACATCATATATCTATTTAAATTTTTTTTTGTGCTGATTCTGTGTAGGTTTTATTCAAATAAACTTTTTATTCAAATTAAAATATTCGAATTGAAATGAAGCACAGATATCTATACGCAATAATATTCTAAAGATTATAATAAAAATTTCCTAAAATGTACTTACGAAGTGTATATTCTCCAGTTACGAAAAATCCAAATGCTGCAACACTGCAAATTGCATTAAGCGCGTAGAATAACATGTTCTTTAGTTAGTATTTCTGTGAATAATTTGATTGATTAAAAACACTGACTCTTATATATCTTCTCAAGGCTAAATATAATAAAATCAAATGACTGGCAAGATAATAACAAATAAAAAAGTTTTCCCAGAATTAATGCGAAGCTGTATTATTGCGCACAGTTGAACCACAATACATTTATTAATCATATTGTTATCAGTCACAAAAGAATTAATGAAAATAATATTACGAATAATAAAAATGTATTCATACTATCTCAAAAGTATAGTAATCCATATCTGATACTACTGCGTCAAGGACAGAGCTGAGTAATATTTAAAGTAGTTCCTGTTGGAACACACACGAATACACGCACCATACAGTCCTACGAACAGACTTTCCTGATCACACCGCCATCTTTTAGTATCACTACGCGTAGGAACTTTTTTCCGTTCTCCCCGCGCGCTGTCTGTTTCGTTCGTTACATACACGCGCTTATATAATCGTCTTCAAACAAATATTCTATTGTATCAACAATAAAGTATGTTTAACAGCATCTTTAGAATTGTCAAAGCTCCTCTCGATTCACTTTCTAGTGTGACCTAATAAATCCGTTTTAAATATGTATTTAAAATGAAAATGACATTTTGCATTTTTTATTTTAAATAGTTTTTGGGAAATTATTTTCATTTTACATTTGAAATAAAATCATGTCTATCATTTAACCATTTATAAAATAGATGAATATAAATTTTATTATGTTTTCACAAATTTTCCCCAGAATTATTGACGCATAAGAAGAACCAAGTCCCATGGCCAAAGATTTTTATGAATATCCAAATAAATTGCAAACTGTAAAGAGAAAATTAATTCCAGATAGTCCATAAATATCTTAACAAAAAATGAATGTTCCAGCTTTATGTAAAATACTATATACATTTCTAAAAATGTAGATGTATTATCTACTCTTAGTATCTAATTTTGACCGTAACTGGCGCTTCTCGAATTAATTTTATTTATTCAAGTAAACGGTCTCATTTCCAAATCTTAATTAAAAAATTTAAAATATTCTTGTCAGAAATACGTTATTTATAATATCATAGTCCTTTCAAATTTCATTTGAAAATGAATTTAAAACGTAAAATATTTTTAACAAATGTATACCTCTCTAGCGGAAAGTTTTTACGAAAAATTACGTAGATTAAGACAAGATCTTAATTTTTCTACAGATTTAGATTTGTACACAGTATAAATTTTATGTTAAATTTAAATAAAATTCGATGTTATTTTTACATTTTTAATTAAAGCGATACCTATGTGATATTTACCATATGCAATATACAGATTTAATTATTATATTTACCATACTGTTACAAAGAGAAAATAACATAAAATATTTATATCTTTTTACATATAAAATATGTAACTAGCTATGCAGAACATATTTCTTCATTAAAATTAACATTTATAATATATTAAATTAACACACATTTTATTCATTTATTCTTAGAATTTATATTTTAAAACTATATTACTTTCATGTTATTTATTTACTTATCTAATAAATTGGGTTATTTTTAACAATGAGAAATGTTAAATTTTAATTTAATACAAAATATTTCAATAACACAATCACATTAAATTAACACTCAGATATGTTAAAAATTTAACACAAAAATTTTAACAAAGATTCGTTTTAACATAAATACAATACGTTTGTTACCGTATAGTAGGATGTAGAGTAGCGTTGTTTGTTTGAAAGACCAAGAAATCCTCCGTCCTCAAGCAACGCTATTCTACGTCTCATTACAAATATCTACGAAAAACTAAGAATTTTTAGACAAACAAATCTCACTTATATCCTACTGTGTGTGAATATTTACAAAAAATTAAGAATTTCTAAGATCTTTCTCAATCTATGTAGTTTTTCTGTACTTTTTCGTAAAAATTTCTTTCCACTAGATCAGGAAAAACCAATTTTGCATTCAAAAACCATTCAAAATAGCTATGTGTTCATTTTACATTTAAAATGGATTCAATAAGCTTATTTTGCATTTTTACATTTTAAATACACTTTTATAAAGTATTTTACAATTAGAATTTTTAATGGAATTTGAAAGGCACTCAAATCCTTGGTCAAGGAAATATGATCATTATTTTGCTACTGCATTCAAAATGTAGCATTGTTTTTTAACTATAAAGTTTGACAATAAAGTTTTTGGTCTGCAGTAATAAATAAACATAGACATCTCAGATAACAATATGTTATATTTTATCTTTCAAAGTATTGTAGTTTTCCATGACATCAATACACTTCGCACGTCTATGATACCAAGTCTCGATACATTTATTAAAACCCATAATTGGAATATTTTTCGGAGCATTTACCATATTCTTGTAAATATTCTCGATATCTAGAAAATATTTATCTTTTATAATGTTTTTATTGAGTTTTGCAAACTATAAGAAATGTGAAAAAGTCAGATCCGACGAATAAGGTAGATATAATTTCAACCTTTGTCTTGTCCAAAAAGTTTGCTGTATGACAACTCTCTTGTGCACTAGAAAATTATCGTGAAACAGTTTCGATATGATCAAAGAATATATCATGCCTTTATAAGTTGTTCTAAAAATATTTTTGCATATTATTTGCACATATATACCTACTCATCATTTATTTATTGTATGTAAATTGATTAAAAAATAGTTTTAAATAAATCTTTATAATTAAAAGAAAGTGAAAATGTGTTCTATAGAATGATTAGCAAAAAGAATATCATCAAGAAGTTTATATAAATATCTAAATTCTTTATCTATAGTATATCACGAGGATAAAGAAGAAAATAACTTTGAATGATTGATTTTTGCTCATCTAATGCTGTCTTACATATATTCTACTGCATTTTATGAATTAATTTATACATATACCTTTATATGGCTTTAAATGCCATTAAGATAAAATGGAAAATAACTTCATGATTAATTTACTTATACAAAACTACTATACACAATGCGTATTTGTCTAAAATTTGGTAATTAGTTTACATGTTGTTAGTACAAAAAGTAAAATAAAATTTTCTATATAATTATTTTAACATTATTATATTATACAAATTTAAA